TTTGCAATTTCACGATTCTGTTTCACCAAGTCGAGACAGAGTTTGAAGTATCGATAATTTTTCATCGAATGCGCGAATATTCGAGTGCGCGTCCACCATTGTACATAAATGTCTGGTCCCGCGTTTTCGAGTCGCAGTGGCGTTAAAAATTGCGCCCTAGGGACAACACGAGGACGTTTCGCGAGGATTTTCACCGCGTGAATGGCCGCGTTTGTTGTCGATGCAAGGGAGAAACGAGCAGTTTCTCCAGCGAGAATGAAATCGTCGGGACAAAACGACGCCTCTCGCCTCTTTGTTGTTCCATCTGTGTTTTAAGAACGTGTTTCGCACGCGAAACGTTCGTCGTTTCAGGTATTTTAATAAAATGTTCCTCAAATGAAAATCATCTCCCCCTCCCCTCGATGGGCAGATGCTTTGACGCGAAAGTATGCTAAATATTCTGAACAGAGACTGAATATCTAGAAACATCTTATGTGCAGAGATTTCTCGATCATCCCTGTGATATATGTACGAACATTATAAGAATCATTGAAAGACAAATTGAAATTAATATTTTGAAATTCAAAGAGGACAGCGAGTAATCTTTTTCAAAGCTTCTTATCGTTTTGTGAAAAGTCAAATTAATTGCTACTATGAAGATTAATCGTTTGGTTACTAAAACAATCATTAAATCACGTGAAACGAGCAAAGGAAGGAATAAAAGTATTAAAGGTAAAGCAACAATGAGTGAAGGAATAATTGTGTATTCAAGCACTTACATCATCGAGAACATCCTTAAATCCATCGAATATAACCAGCACGTACTGAAAGATGGTTTTATGATAGTCCAGGAGGATTTTGAATGTCTCGTCCCTTGAATATCACCCATTACACATGTTCAATAATTCATTCATTAAACTCACTCTTTCGAATTGTATGTTACGTTCAAATTGTATACCTGGTTTTTAATAATTCCTGCTGCAACTCCTCCAGAGAATACGTGTAATTCGGCCTGATTTTGATCAGCGGCGTGTTGCAAATATCCTCGCATATCCTCGTGATATGGTGATTCGATTCTTTATAAACGTCGATGAACTCTTGGAGCTAAAAGAGGAAACGTATGCAAGTCTCTCACGTATACTTATTATTAACATTAACACTCTGTGGTTTATCAACGACGTGGTTGGCTATCAAGTATTTAACAACACTGACTGGCATTAATTATTCAAGACAAATTAAAACTTGCCATATTGAATATACTCGATGCTTGAGCAATTCTTTAGACATCAGCGTTTATAATGCATAATCGTTGCGAACTGCAATGTGTTAAAACTCTTGTCGGCTGTTATTATTAAAGCGACAGAGATGATAGAAAGTAACAAGAAATTAAAGAAAGTTGGAGTAGAAGAATGTCAAATTGAAATAAATTGACAAATAATCTCGATAGAAGATGAAGTCCATGGCAACAGAATTGGAAGCTGCTTTAAAAATTATTTTCAGGGGCAAAGTGAAACAGAAGATCAGTCCATTCTCTAACATAATTTAGAGAAAAATCACTTGCTTTAACTTGTTAGCTACTGTTCCAAGATAAGATATATCATTTTCCTTGTTAATGATCGAGCCCGGTTTCCATAGAAGCATTTTAGAAGCTTTCTCTCGCAAAGCGATTCCTTCGATTCATCATAATAACGTAAGACAAGAAACTAAGTGACGATCCTTCGAACCGGGCCGAGTCTCGTCGATTTGAACAGGTCGCACGAATGGCCGCAAACGCGGCCTCGGATATCCGCTATTGTTACTCCGTATTTCGCCGGCACGCGCGCGCACTTCTTGCTTAATTAAACAAACAAAGGCTGCGGACGGATCCCGCACTTGGCTCGGTCAAAATTTAATTTCGAGCCAGGGGGACAGAGCCGGGACTCGTTGCATAAATTTCTGCGACGCGTATAGGCGTCGCCCTCTGCCAGCCGGTTTCCACGTTGGACGAAGAGGACGATAGCCGATGGCTAACCGGAAGCGATGGAGGAGCGGAGGGGAGGAACGAAGCGTACATTTGCCGTTTGGTTAAAGCAATCCTCGATGTATGCGTCCACGTATTCCGTGTTCCATGTCAGCCTGTTTAAGCCGGGATTGATCTTCCTGTCTACCTGGCGAATTAGTTCGCGGAACAGCTCGCACTCTGTCCTCGACAAAGCTGAAAAACAACAATATACTATATATATATGTGTGTACATTATACGCGCGCGTTGTCCGCTCGACACGGTTCACCGCGGCAGAAACGCGATTATCCGAATCGTGTTCGTCCCGGCGTGCATTCGATCGTACGAATTACCATTTGGCGGATCATTTTAAAAGTCTCTCGTTGCGATGGATTTTCTCTCTCTCTCTCTCTCTCTCTCTTTGTTTTTTTTTTTTTTATTTCAAACGATACGAGCTTTTTGATGGTAGAACGTTGCATGTTGTATAAGTTAACCGGTGCCGCGTTTGTTGGCTCGAAGCATGAGTGCTGCAGCGAGCGAACCGATTTCATTTCCATGTTACTCTATCTCCCTCTCTTCTTATTGTTATTGCAGCGTCAGTGAATTTTCCACGAACGGTTTTATCTGTTTCTGATCGACCTTCGAACTCGAACGAGAAGCGTGATTCCTCCAGCAGGGAAATTAATTTATCCTCCGGGAGGGAGTGGGACAAGTTCTCGAGGAATTCCCAGGAGATCGAGGTGCATGGTTTTTCAATTAACCGGGGATAATCTAGCGTTAGTTCTTGCTCATAAACTTTCTATCTACCGCCTGCGATGTTTTATAATCGCGGCTTGGATTCTCCGGCCGATAATAAGACCAGCGGTGGCACCGTTTGAATGACGCGCCAGGTATTTCCCGGGGCAGATGTACTTGACCAACTATTTCGCAATCTCCAGGGCTCGATATACAAATTTCATGCAACCCGAAACTTCGAAACATTTCCTAGAATTTGTTTCGTCACGCGCAAGTGCATATGTACATTTCTTTGAGCGATCGGTTAATCATTACATCAATAAACCTGATGAATGATCGAAAGGATCATATTTAATTATGTTATTTAAAATAAGCTGTTCGTGCTCGTATGTTAATTTTTTTTATTAAACGTAAATGTTCACAACGCATGAATCTCGAAATGTTTCGATTGTTGCGTATGGAAATGGGAAATTTCACGAGATTTCGTAATTTCAGAATTTCGCGACGAAGAAAAGTGTCATTAATTAGCACGTGTTTAGAATTTGAAGCCTGGTGAATTCAACGTGACTGCTACTTTGTCAATTATCTTATCACAGACAGATAGATTGTTCGAGCGAATGTTTTACAAAAAATTTTTAAAAACAAAATAAAACTATAGCTAAAAGCTGTGTTGAAGGAACAGGCAATCTGCGAAGAATTTCAATTGGAGGATACAAACGTTAACAATGGACTACAAGATCATCGACAACGATTGATTAAAAATTTCAAAAATAGTTGCAATAATTATAAAATTGTTTTAGAACAAAATTTAATTAATCGTTCGAATGCATATAAGTTTAATATTTAATGAGGAACATGTAACAAAATTTAGAATTAATTCATCTTTAAATGTAATTTTGATTGAATCAATATATCTCGATGTATCATCTTTTTTGAGCTTTTAATGCTAGTAGATAAATTTTAAATATCTCAGATGATCTGTATAATACTCTAACAGGACTAAACATTCAAAGGGGTTAATACTATTTTATCAGGAACTCATAAATTTCGTCATTTCATCTGTGACAACTTAATACGATCTAGACACGAAGTATGTCTACGACAAATTCATATACTTTCTAACTATTTATCGATCGATGACAGTATCGATTCATTGCGGCGAATGGCGAATGCGCCGCGGTCTTTGGGAAATGGAGGTCCGACCGGAAGTTGCGCCACTAATTATTACTTCGCAACTTGACGTATTCACCAGACTCGATGCATCAGAAAATGTATATACGTTTAATAGAATTTGCCGTTGACGTGGCACATTAGGTAGCGACTTTGCAAGAAGCAATTTAGCGAATTTCAATTAATCACGTGCTATGAGTTTTATAATCGAAACGCCAATGAAAAAAAAAGAAAAAAAAAACAGAAATTAAGAAATTACGGGATATCATTACAAATGACCGAATTCTTTTTATAAAAATTTTAGCTTTCAAACAGTTTATACATTCCTTGGTAAATAATATTTCAATCAAATTCATATACATTTTGACTAACTTGATATAAATAAAGTTTTAATTGTTACAATTAAAATCTTCGGTTGATCGTTATTCTTTTCTTCAAAAATTTTTTTACACCAATGGCAGGTTATTTCTTTCTTTTAAAAGTAGCTTCTTTCCAGGATTCAGTATAAATGTTCAGGATCAACTTTCGCTGCATTAGAGCAACGTTTAAAATTTTTTTTAAGGATATGTACAAATTCGATCGCTTTGATGTATAAATTTGTCTTTTCGTAATAATCAACAAAATATCAATTGTGTTATGTCTGACTGAATTAATTTGGAGATTAAATAACGAGCAAGTAACTGAAATGATTTCAAAATTGACTAATCAATCTGCCTCTAATTTGTGAAATTTAATATTCATTTTAATTTTCATTCTAGAATTAACTTCTGTTTGGTTTTATTTTATATATATATATATATATATATATATATATATATATATATAT